CGGGGTCTAGGTGTATATACTAAGAGGGAATATTATCAAAGAAACTGACAGAGTTTTATTGAGTTAAATCATACCAAATGCAATAATCTATATTATTATCATATGAGTATATTATGAACTAGAAGATAAATTAATTATATTAGGATGCACTACAAAACTATATTTGGGTGCACAGCGATCCCTTTATAACAACAGCATGCAATTTCACTATAATTCCACATTACTTAGGTTCATTTGGTGTTGGGTTCATAATGTATAATTGAAAAATAAATAATTTTCCCAAAACCATCCCACACTCAATCCCAGATGAGCTATTGCACCATAGTATGTTCCCAGTCTTTTTTTTACAGAGCTGTACATAGCTGATCGTTCCTACTTTCTCTAATAATGTTGCCAGCACTTGCCGTCTTTCAAGCACTGGATTTTTTGTTAAGTCAAGTGTACAGGTTGACAATCCCTTATCCGAAATCCTTGAGACCAGATGCATTTCGGTTTTTGGAATTTTTCGGTTGTCAGAATGGTTAGTTTTTTTTTTTTTTTTTACAGGGATCAGCCCACCCGGGCACAGGTCACTGACCCACATTAGGACCTGGGGGCTAAAATATTGTAATTATAATAAATAATAATAATAATAATAATAATAATTATAATAATTCATAGGTCCAGGCCGTGTTTCTCACTTTTGATCTTTTTTTCATTCTTGTATTTCTTTATTATTATTATTATTATTATTTTATTATTACAGTATTATTGTTATTATTATTGTTATCATTCTTATTTTATTTTTGTGTATTTTTTATTAAAAATTTTATTTACTATGAATAATTATTATTACTGTATTACTGTATTATCATTATTAATATTATTATAATTATTATTACTATTACATTTTCACCCCCCAGGCCCAGATGTGGGTCAGTGACCTGTGCCCGGGTGGGTTGTTACAAAAAAAAAAAAATTGCTCCACAAAAAAACTTTCGGTTTTCAGAGCTTTTCGGTTTTTGGAATTTCGGATAAAGGGTTGCCAACCTGTAATTACAAATACAATATTTTATCTGGCAGCCAAGACATGATAACTAAGCACTCTTGTTGGTTAGTGTTATCGCCGCTGGCTTCAACTACAGTGCTGGCGTTGCCTTACCCGAACAAACATTCAATCTATCAGCCTGCGACCACGTGCACCGTTGCCCCATGCGACCTGTACAAACAAGATGCCCCGATTCTGATGAGTGTATGGTTTAAAGGGTGGCGTGGCCACCTGGTCTCCATGATGCAGATTGCCTTCTCGAGTGATGCTGTGAGGACCAGCCACCAGCCCTCTGTGGTAAACACTGACTCCCAATCCTGGCCGAGTTTTTGTGTTGGAACAATTTACACAGTACTATTATCCCTTGGAACACCATACTGGTTCTCAGTGACCCGCACTTATAAGTACAGCCAAAGTGATGACATACCCCTCAGTACTGAAATATTGTGGACTAATTATGCCTACTCGTTTCTGCCTTATCTGGAGAAATAAGACAATGAGGAATGAAGTGTAACTAAGATTAATAGAGTTATGAACTTTGTATCATGTCACTATGCTTAATAATCAATTGTAATTAAGATGAAATCGTCTGAGACTAACTAATTATGTATCAGATAGATCACTGTGTAATACTAATGAACGCCTTGTTCTTTGCAGGTTTTGACCACATCAATAAATATTGAATGCGTCAAAAGGCAAGTTTCAATCATTCCCTTCGACTTGCCCGTCACCTGAACATCCTTAACCAAGGTGTTTACAGTTGGAATAATGAGGAACAATCTGAACAGCACACAAACAAATAATCAAACAAAAAATTTTGGAAATTGTCAAACAGTGTAATGTCAAAATATTCCAAACTTGTTTAATTTGAATTTTTCGGTAATTCGAGTAACCGAGTCCATAAATTTTTAACATAATGGATCTGAGTGCGGACCTGAGTCTGAAATATTTGAACTTAGTCCGAATGGGTCACAGGGTCCGTTAAATCTGAGGTCCGTTTTAGAGGGTATCCGCTATAATGGAGGGTTACTATATATACCCTGTATAATAAAGCTTTGCTAGTCCAGGTTAAGTGGAGGGAGGAGGGTTCAGGATTATGTGAAGGTCTGGGCTATCCAAAATATTAAGAAAAATGCATTACACATGCAAATGACACATATTAAATCCAAACAATCCAAACCAGTATAGGCAGACACAGATTTACAAATGGGTCATGTTCCTGAAAAATCTTCCATAAAAAAAATCCTGATAAAAGCATACTTTCTAATGGACCCATTCTATGATTCTTCCCCACATCATACAAAAATGACACCAAAGGCCTAAATTAACCCATTCAATGTGGCTGGTCTGAATTTTGAGTGTACCCTCAGTGCAATCCATATGATACATATGGGTTTCTTTTCTACAGTCAACTGCCAAAGAGGTGAGGACATCTAAATAGAAAACAAGACACTTCCTCATTCCTTCACACTGCTCCATGGATAAACAACTGATGACTCATCACACTCAAGGTCGGCTAAACATAATCCACATTAATCAAAGTCTGGGTCAGTGGATTCTGGATTAATAAGGTTCCACTGTACTCTCTTTATTATGCACTACTGTATAGTGTACCAGAATTGAAAAATACAGTCTTAAATAAAATTTACAATTTAATATAAAAAATATTTTTTAAATACAATACTGTAGATAATTACACACCATTCTTTAATTAAAATGCATATCAAGTATAAAAACATAAATACCGGTATATAATAATCATATGTAATACAGTAAAAGAAACTTTGTGAAAACTTTTACAATAAAAGTCATCCAACAACTAAAAGACATTTATAAATGACAATTGTATTTGAGTCATACGGGCCCTCTAATACAATTAAATTGGGTTTCCTCAAGATTCACAATTGCACAAAAGGTATAATTTTGACCCCTTATGAAAAGGTAAATTACTAACCAAACCTGTTTGAGCTAACCACAGACCCCCCCTTAACCAATTTACAAATGATTCAATCAAGTGTGTCAAATGTAAGCACATCACTTGACACCCCCCCCCCAACACATGGTCAAATTTGCAACTGTAAAACCTAAGATTTGAAAATCACTTTGTATACCTGGTTTTCTCCATATAATTTCACAATTGGTAAATGCATTCCAGCTACAGGTTCCTCTTTGGAATTATTTTTAGTAATCTATGTACACTCCTGTCTCAGGTATGCATGCATACCTACAGGACATACATAATATTTTTATCTAATGATTTAAGGGTTAACTGTGTATTGTATTAGAGTTTTAATAATGAATATTACTCCAAACTGACAGGACCAGTATCTAAACTATTTTCTTCCATAAGTTACATTGAAAATTTTTCTTGGAGAGTAACTCTGTGAATATTTACAAGTTTAATACAAAGTGAAAACTCTGAAGCTACACTTTAATCTGAAGGGATATATGGCAACTTAGTAGCTCACTGAATTGTGTTACATGATCCCAATCAATTTGTGGCAAAATCCCTCAAAGATTTCAAAAATTTCATCCACCAAATCAGGGGATGCAGACAAAACTTTCTAAGGTAAATTTTATATGAAGGACTATTAATCCCTCAAAATATGAGCTCATATATCTTCATCATCATCTGACTTGAACCCGTATAAATAATTTACAGGATTCATGGAGGATAGCAGGGCCTGCATAGTGAGGTATCTTTCAATTTAAAATATTAAAAGGCTTAGCTACAAATGCACTAGGACCCATAACAACAGGTTGAAAGTCAGTCAAACATACAGTAATGCCATCAGAGATCCAAAAGTAAAGTGATGAGAAGCCTGCAGATTCACCACCTAACCAAAACAACTTACCTCGATAATCCAAATATCAAAAGGTTTAAAATACTGGCAAAAACAAATTACTGTACTGTACAGTATTTAGCTATGTAAAAAAATGATACAATAAGTTTAATGATAACACCTGTGGTTGTTAGCATACTTGGAGACTAGGAGATTTTGTTACTCAATTTTGCACAAGGAACTGTCATGACTGAGTTTAGTATACCATTATGTGGCTGGAGGTGGTTTGAGATGAGTGAGCCTCATGTAAGTTTCAGATGCCCCACCTAAATTCCTTCATTGGCTTAGGAGGCAACCACCAAATTAGGGGTTTTGAATACAGATTTTACATGGTAAGGAACGAATGTGTTAGTACATGGATGATGGTGTGTCCTACCTCTAAATAATCAAGTCCTTTGGCAATGGTGGGCTGTGCTAAGTAGCTATATATCTCACAGGTTACCCATTTATGATATCTAGGCTACAAAATACTCCTGAAGTATAAATGAATACCGGTATGAACATCTGTATGAGTCCAGTCACAATGAACACTAAAATTAATATGTTTCAGAAGTGACAAATCAAATGTTTCTTTATAAAGTACTCTATACAGGTCAGTACAGTAATTTCTACTCAAGCTCTACCTTTTCTTGTAAAAATACATACAGAACTGTAATTTTCTTCAAAATACAAAAAGTTTATAATAAATCCATTTCTTGAATATCTATGATTGTAGTGCCAGAGTTTATAATTTTTGAAAGGTACTCTTCAAGAGGTTGAAAATTTGTTATGGTGATCCTTCATAAATTAATGATAAATTACAACATAGTCATCAGCATCATATTTAATAAAGCATATACAATATATTCTCTTAGACTTTTATTAGTGACTCAACAAGCACTCTTTTGGATGCTTAAGCAGCATTATATCACAGTTTGAAAACTAAAACAAAAATAATAATTTATCCTTATTAGTTACATGTTGAAATTTAAAAATCAACCTTTTGAATTTTAAACTCTTTATTAATAAAACTACGAATCTAGTGAGGATAAAAGAGAAAACTAAATGCCAATAACATTGTTTAGCCACTGTGCATGCTTTTCACCAAGTGTTTTTTGATATGAATTTGTTTGAAGACATCTATTTATTAGGTCTCTCTCACGCAAAAGAACAGCACTCCACTCACTGTTGACTGTCTCTACACATGATCTTTTCAGGGCTGGAGGTGGAGGGGAACAGGTTCTTTGGGGAGAGGAGCAAAGCAGCTCTTTTAGACGCGTCAAGAGGAATCTGCGATGACAAAAGAGTGCCTCATGATCACTATATTCCTCTATTAAGTCACAGTTAAAATCTAGCTCCTTCTGATAAAGCTTTTCTACACTATCTACACATGGAACAATTTCCAGTAAATTCTCAACTTTTTCTTCATTTACCAGAGAGACAAGTGAGTCCAGAAGATACTGGAGATAGTGGAGACCACTATGTTCACTTACATGAACACTAACCCACTTATGGCTTGTTTCATACTCTAATCGACATACATCTGTGAGCCCAACATGAGTGGCAAACTGCTGCAATACCCATAATCGATGGTTCCATGAATGATAGTTGTTTTGATGCTTGTCAGCTGTCCATGCACAAATATCTAATTCAGAAAATAGAAACTGCTTAATATATTCAGAATTTATGAGATCAACATTACCATTATGGTTATTATCCTCATCTAAGTCATGGGCTCCATTTGCTTGCAGAGGCATAACTCTTGATAGAATATTACTAAACATCCATTTACGATGCTGGAAAACTTCCATGCATTTAGGTTTTCTAGAAAGTATCAGCTTTGTAAGAAGCAGATCACTATCTGCTGCCAGTTGGCCCTGGCGTAAAAGTGCTTTCCGTATATTCCAGAATGTTGCAACTTCTGGAGCAATAAGCAAACAGAACTGAGTCCAACGAAGCAACAGAGCAGGATCTGAAAAAAAATAAATAATAAATAAATAAAAAATTTATATACCCTGTCAAATTACGTATTTCCGAGTGATTGCACTGTGTACTGAAAATTTTTTCGTTTGTAATTCATTTTAAAATGGCTGGCAAGCTTAAAAACGAGAGTTTTGTAGTGCTGAGAAGAAAAAGAGACACCCATTTTAGATTTTCTATGTATATTTAAGCATTTTCGACTTACGACCTGGATTTGGGTACCTAACCCCGTCGTGAGTCGGGGAGGAGCTGTATATATAACTTGTTATTTCATCCTAATTTTTGCTTTAATTTTTCATGATAAACTAAATAAATTAGTTACTAAACACAGTACAGTTGTACCCCACTTAACGCGGTCAATTAAACCCAGAGGGTCCCGCGTTAAGTGAAATCCGCGTTAAGTGAACAACAGAACATATGGGATTAATTCCAATAGAAACCGGCCCGACCCCCAAACTCCACTTTTTGAAGGCACATACCTATGTTGTAGTAAAAATAACATCTTAATTTTATGATGGTACATGCACACAATTAATACTTAAGAGAAATAGAGAAATACAGTCGCCAAGTTAATGTCCATTCAAATAATGGACTCAACTCCCTCCCCCTCTCACACTACACTGCCGGCTCTTCCCTCTCAGAGAAATTTTTGGGGGAAAACCACTAAATTTTAATAAATAATACCTCAAACTAAAGTTAGGATAATACAATTGACATTGCTGGATTCCTTGTAAGACCAGGAATATTTTGAATATAAATGTCATATATTTTGCACAAAAGATAACATAGTTACCTAGAGAAAAATTTTTATCTAAAATTTGTATGTTTAATGCAAAATATATGATGTTTATATTCAAAATGATCACCAAATTATAAGAATTCCAGCAATGTAAATTATATTCTGACCGGGTAATTTGTATGAATTTTATGAGCTAAAACAAATATCTTCAGTTAATAAAAAAAAAAATAATCTTCACGACACTATCTGTCAATCAAAGTACCCCACCTTGCCTCCCCCCCTCTTCCAACCGCGCGGTCAGTCCCAACCCTCCCCCCCACCCCCCACCAATCCTCCCTTCCAGAGTTTTTAACATTTAGTATTAAATAATACCTCAGATTAAAGTTAGGATAATATAATTGACATTGCTGGATTCCTTGTAAGACCAGGAATATTTTGAATATAAATGTCATATATTTTGCACAAAAGATAACATAGTTAATTTGAGAAAAATTTTTATCTAAAATTTGTATGTCTAATGCAAAATATATGATGTTTATATTCAAAATGATCATCAAATTATAAGAATTCCAGCAATGTAAATTATATTCAGACCGGGTAATTTGTATGAATTTTATGAGCTAAAACAAATATCTTCAGTTAATAAAAGGGGTAACAGATGGTCGGTCGGTCCCTCCCTCCCCCCCACCCCCCACCAACCGTCCCAAGGAGATGTGTGGGATAACCACTAAATTTTAATAAATAATACCTCAAACTAAAGTTAGGATAATATAATTGACATTGCTGGATTCCTTGTAAGACCAGGAATATTTTGAATATAAATGTCATATATTTTGCACAAAAGATAACATAGTTACTCTGAGAAAAATTTTTATCTAAAATTTGTATGTCTAATGCAAAATATATGATGTTTATATTCAAAATGATCACCAAATTATAAGAATTCCAGCAATGTAAATTATATTCTGGCCGGGTAATTTGTATGAATTTTATGAGCTAAAACAGGCAGTCAGGCAGGGTGGCGGGTGGGGCAAATCTAAAAATAGCGTCTCCAGCCGGACACTCACCGCGTATATGTGGAAAAAATCCGTGTTAAGTGAAAGTTCAGCTCTGGCGAGGCACCGCGTATATGATAAAACGCGTTAAGTGAAACCGCGTTAGGCGGGGTAATACTGTACTGTAAAACCAACCTTTAAGAGAAATTAATGTGAGAAACACTAGTGTTTAAGTGAGATTGACTGTGAGTGAATTCATGGATATATTTGTGCATACAGATTATACAGTAGAACAGTACCCCGATACACCAGACTAATTGGAGCAGATCCCAATCCGGAAAAAAAAATCAAAGGGGTGGGGAATCTGGACATAACCCTTATTAACTGAATTGCTTCAGGAAATCAAAGCCTGGCTGTCAACAACTGTTTTTGTTGATATAAAGGTTTTTTATTTATTTACCTGTATTTTTTTTTTACGGGGAATAGCCCACAGGTCATCGACCCACAACGGGGCCTATGGGGCAAAAAATAAGAATAAAAAGAAATTAAAAATAGAAAAGAAAAAGATTATATTAATCTACACCACAAAGATGCTGGAAAACCAACTTTTAAAGTTTGACAGAATGTATGAGCATGGAAACACAGAAGGAGGCAGAGTTTGGCTTTGTGAGGAAAGAAGGATGTACTATAACAGGTTATTCTAGTCACAAGTGTGACCGACATCCACACAGAAACGGTGGGCACCGCGGGCAAGAAAAGTGCTACGAGCCAACGGCAGTACACAAGATGCCAAATTCACCGAACATTGCCCGTTACAGTACAGTACCTGTAAAAGAGAGAGAGTGATGCAACATTGCGGTGAGGAGAAAGCGAAGAAAGATTATCAACTAAAGGAGGAGAGTTAATAAGATGAAATGCATTTGATTCCACCTTAAATTACAGTTGGACAGAAGAGTCACCCCAGATATGAGAACAGTACTCCAAGTTAGGACAAATGAATCCCTTATAAACTTGAAGCAACTGCTCAGGGGTGAAGTAGCTACGGCATCTGTACAGCATATCGAGCTTTTGGGAGGCAGCTTTAGCAATGTTATGGATGTGTGGCTTCCATGACATACAGTTGTACCCCGCTTAACGCAGTCAATTGAACCCACAGGGTACCGCGTTAAGTGAAACCGCGTTAAGTGAACAACAGAACATATGGGATTAATTCCAATAGAGACTGGCCCGACCCCCAAACTCCACTTTTTGACGACGCACAACTATGTTCTAGTAAAAATAACATCTTAATTTTATGATGGTACATGCACACAATTAATACTTAAGAGAAATAGAGAAATACAGTCGCCAAGTTAATGTCCATTCAAGTCATGGACTCGACTCCCTCCCCCTCTTCTCACACTACACTGCTGGCTCTTCCCTCTCTGAGAAATTTTTGGGGGAAACCACTAGATTTTAATCAATAATACCTCAAACTAAAGTTAGGATAATATAATTGACATTGCTGGATTCCTTGTAAGACCAGGAATATTTTGAATATAAATGTCATTATTTTGCACAAAAGATAACATATTTACTCAGAGTAAACATTATATTTTTCAATTTGTATGTCTAATGCAAAATCTATGATGTTTATATTCAAAATGATCATCAAATTGTAAGAATTCCAGCAATGTAAATTATATTCTGGCCGGGTAATTTGTATGAATTTTATGAGCTAAAACAAATATCTTCAGTTAATAAAAAAAAAAAATTCTTCACGACACTATCTGTCAATCAAAGTACCCCACCTTGCCTCCCCCCCCTTCCAACCGTGCCAAATGGTCGGTCCGTCCCAACCCTCCCTACCAGAGAAGCTTTGGGAGAAAATAGTAATTTACATTTTTAGTAATAAATAATAACTCAGATTAAAGTTAGGATAATATAATTGACATTGCTGGATTCCTTGTAAGACCAGGAATATTTTGAATATAAATGTCATATATTTTGCACAAAAGATAACATATTTACTCAGAGTAAACATTATATCTAAAATTTGTATGTCTAATGCAAAATCTATGATGTTTATATTCAAAATGATCATCAAATTGTAAGAATTCCAGCAATGTAAATTATATTCTGGCCAGGTAATTTGTATGAATTTTATGAGCTAAAACAAATATCTTCAGTTAAAAAAAAAAATATTCTTCACACCGTGCCAGATGGTCGGTCGGTCGGTCCCTTCCTCCCCCCCACCCCCCACCAACCCTCCCTACCAGATGTGTGGGAAAACCAGAATATTTACCTTTTTAGTAATAAATAATACCTCAAACTAAAGTTAGAATAATATACTAATTGACATTGCTGGATTCCTTGTAAGACCAGGAATATTTTGAATATAAATGTAATATATTTTGCACAAAAGATAACACATTTACTCAGAGTAAACATTATATCTAAAATTTGTATGTCTAATGCAAAATCTATGATGTTTATATTCAAAATGATCATCATATTGTAAGAATTCCAGCAATGTAAATTATATTCTGGCCGGGTAATTTGTATGAATTTTATGAGCTAAATAAAAAAAAAAAATATATTATACTTCACCGCGTATATGAGTAGATGAACCGCGTTAAGTGAAAGTTCGGTTCTGGCGAGGCACCGCGTATATGAGAAATCGCGTTAAGTGAAACCGCGTTAAGTGGGGTACAACTGTATTAGAGGAAATGGTGAGACCTAGCATATCTATTTTAGAACTTGGCAGAAGGATTGCATCCTGAAATGTGATTGGTGGGAGATCAGCTAATTTGGAAAGTGTAATTGGTAAACACTGAGTTTTATTACCATTGCATTTAACCAAGTTTCTACCTTCCCATTCAGAGATGCTGCACAGATCCACAATGACAGAGGAAATGATATCAACTCTAGAAACAGATCTAGTTTGAGAATTAGGGGGAAGGGAAAAATGTGAAGAAGAGTGAAGAGTAGAATCATCAGCGTAAGAATGGATAGAATTAGTAGTAGTGTGAAGTAAATAATTGATTAAAAGAAGGAAGAGAGTAGGTGAAATATGAGAACCCTGTGGGACACCACTATAGGTAGAGAAAGAGCGAGAGATCCATTCCTCGACAACAAGTGCCATGAATTGGTTCTCAAGGAAGCTAGAAATTTGAGAAAAAAAAGTGGGGGAGACAAACCAAACCATAAGAGGGAAGTTTAGAAAGCAGACTTGTGCTATGCCCTGTCAAATGTTTTAGAGATATCGAGGGCCAAAAC